GAGGATGGGATAATGGGATACCCCCCCCCCCCCCCCAAAAAAAAGGGCTAGCATACGTAACACTTAACAATTTCCACTGTTTGGAGTTCCATGTTCTCTGCTATGAAAAGCCTTAATCTTCATATCAATTGCATAATATAACTTTAGCGAAAAGGGGGTGGGGGGGGGACCACAACTTTATTTCACCATAGAAATGATGGTCACAAACAGAAACCCAGTTTTTGCCCACATCTGACTGTCAGTCTCATATGGCATATTTAAAACAGCAGTTTTGAAATGTAAAAAGAAATTAGTTTTAATGCAATGGGTTTATGTAGCCAACCTACTATATCTACATTTTACTGAATCTTACCCATGCCGACCAAGATTAGTCATGGGTTAGTAGACCATCATTTATGATTCATCTTGGCAAGCAACGGTTTTATCTTTCTCACAGCATTATATTTTGGTCTGTTTGTATTTCTACTGTTGGCTAATTTTGTCTGCTGTTATTTCTGTTGCACATTTTCACTTGAAGTGCTAAAGGCAATGGGATGGCCCCCTTTCTCCCTCAGGGTATGTATGGTGCTGCAAGACCCTAGCCCACCTTGGGAGCTGGCATGCTTGCAAAACTTCTACATCAAAGGAGGGCAAAGAATTTGTTAGGATACAGCTGTGAACTCTTATTACTTATTACTATCCAGACTGGGACAGTGTTATCATCTACTGGCCAATGTTTGAAACTTTGCTCTGTTTTTTTTCAAATGTTGGAAACGTTAACAAATCCAGTTGTGTTTGTTTATATCTTATTTTATTCTATGCATCCTCATTGCTTCCACTCCTATTTCCCAGCTTTTTGCTGCTAGCACTATAATAAAATCTCTTTTTCATTTCATGTCATTAATGGGCAACACAAAAGAAGTCAAAGTCATACCAACTTTTGTTTTACTTATGCTGGAGCAGACTGAAAAAAACACAGATCAGATGAGGATGAGGATGATGAGAATGCAAAGACATATTACCTTATTATTGTTTACAACAATGGCCCAAAGCAAAAAAAGATCCCAGTTATTGAAACAAATACTCGGACTTGAAAACACCAAATAATTTGTATTAGAAATCACTACTCTACTAGAGATTTGTTTTCAGGTTGTTCTTTTCGGCTTTGGTTTGAAGATGGCATACAAGCTCCATCACTTTTTTTAATGGAGCCTGGACTGTTTTTGTTTGAACAACTGCCCACAATATGCTCCACATGTCCTAATAGCTGGACCTTTGCCTTGACCCAGGCTAGTATAAATGTTAGCTTGACAGTGCACTGAACCAGTAATTCTCTCCATTTGTGCTGCTGCTGCCAAGGGTGATGTTCTTGCTCATTTTTTAAATTAGCTTGCCTACCTGGCTGCAATCCTTCCAAGCTCAAGCAAACAAAGGCACACTTCTCTGGGCTGCTTGTGGAGGACTGTAGAAGCAAAATGAAAATAGAAAGTATTTATGGAGAAGGTATTTGAAGCATCCAAATGATATATGCTTGTAATATCCTAAATCCTAAACTACAGGATCGAATGGTTGGCACAGACAAATAAAAGCACGGCTACAACAGTTTATTGAAAAATTAAGACATGGATGGCATATGCTATCTTAGAAGAAGTTGACTCTTCTAAGATGACATCTGATGTGAAACATGCAGGCTTCATTTAAAGACAAAGAAATTAATAGTATTTTCAAAAGAACACTGTTCTTACACAAATTGATATAGATGATTAATTGATTAATCAATTTAATAACTTATGATTAACTTTTTCCTTCCAGAGTGACAGCCCTAAATTAAGATTCTAAGATATTTCAAATAAACAAAGGTTTGTAGAATGATATTTTTCAAAGGTGCTAATGGATTTAGTGGTGTGTATAACAGGATCAGCAAAACTGTATTCAAGCATTAGAAAAAAAAAAAAAGACTATACCATCCATAACATACAACTAGTCACTCTTTGAAACATACAGTACACTAAATAGGTCATAAATAATAAGAACTTTACATAAATAAAGGAGGGAATTTGGAGAATAAAGTGTGTTTGAAATAATTTACATGTTCTCCTGCAAATAACTTTTGCCTGGACTCTACCATATACTCTATTCAATTTCCCACTCAGACTGGAACATCACAGAAACAACTGTGTGGAAGTAATCCATGTGATGATTAAATAGCAGGCCTCAACACTGTCCATAATCCTGCTCCATCCCAAACATCCACATGTTGAACTCCATCATAGGTAGACAACCTGTAGTTCCTTGGATGTTTTGGACTACAACTCTCACAATTTCTCACCACTAGCCATTACTGGATAGTGCTTCTTTAAGCTGTAAGCCAATACATATGAAGAATACCAGGTTACCAGTTTGTGTCCTACATGCAATACTAGGGAATGGGGAAGCAGTTCATCTATATGAGATATAATACTTTATTATTTATGTATTAATTAAAAGAAAAAACAAGTTGGGGCCACTATAAAAAACTCATTTCCAACATCTCACACACACCCAGGCCAGAGCTCGTTAACATCCTGGACCCAATGCCTGGGAGAACAGCCAGGTCTTCTCAGCCTTCCAAAAAGCCAACAGAGTCAGAGCCATCCATATGTCCAGGGGGAGGCTGTTCCATTAAGCAGGCACCATGACAGAGAAGACATGCTTCCTGGGACCGAGTATATAACTGGGTACCTAGATCAGGGAACCTGCAGCATGCCCACTCTGCCAGATCTGGTAGGGCAGGCATAAACCAATGGGGTCAGCTCAAACAGAT